TTCTCCAATATTTTTATCCCACATATTTAACTACCTAAAAGACCCGCTTTCTAATATGAACTTCCTTTTTGATCCTTTATGGTAGAAATGTAGGCAGTGTGTATTCTTATAAGGAGATATTTTAATTGACTATGTAAGGTAGCATAAAGAGTCTACGAGGGAGGACACCTGTGGTTGTAAAAACTAGAAGTGGCTACTTCTATGCAAACATCTTGGCTGTCTCTATAGCCCTACCTCCTAGATTATTTAGGGTCTTAGCTTGTGATTCGGGAGATAGATAAAAGAAAAAACAAACCCATGAAAAGGCAATGCAAGAAGTCAAGCACCGAATTGTCGTGTCTATGGCTTCCCTTTCAATGCCTTCACTACCCATTCTCTTCCATTGCTTATTCCCAACAGAGAAACTCCAGAGAATAACACATCAGGTTTGTATTAGATTTTCCCCATTTCTTTGTGTTATTATATAGCCATTCATTTATAAGTAGTTTGTCATATTTGAAATTGATTTTCAAAACTATGGGGTTGTTGATTTTACGTATATATTGTTTTTGTTAGGTCTATGAAATTCCCGTCTCTAGAGGGAATGATTCAGCTACAAACCAATGCTTGGTATTCGCCCTACTCTTGTATTCTTTTTACATCAATATTTTTTTCTGAATAATTGAATTCATGGTTAATACTCTTTTGCACAGGAGAAATGTCTACATTTGATAATGTTGTTAGTGGAAAGCTGAAAGTTAAGGGAAAGGCTCTGGATGTGAAAGCAGGTGGAGAAGACATAAGAGAATTTCAAGAATGAATTTTAAAGCGAATATGGCAGAAAAAATAAGGATTTATGTTGGAGGATTGGGGCTGAATGTGAAAGAAGATGATTTGAAAAAGACTTTCAATTCACCTCAATTAGGAACTGTGGATTCAGTAGAAATAATGCGCAGCAAAGGCCGCAGCTTCGCTTATTTGGACTTTGTTCCAGTTTCCGACAAGGGCCTTGCCAAGCTCTTCAGCACGGTATGCTTATTTGGCTATGCTATTTTATAAATGGATATGCTTTATGGGGTAGTATTTGTGTTTTACGGTAGAAAATTGGTGCTTTAGAGAAATGACTCTTTTGAAGTTTAAATTGATTGCTTTTGAATTCAGATTTGAATTACCCATATCACAGGTCGAAGCTAATTTGAGATGATTATATAGGTAAAGATAAGAAAAGCTCTTAAAAAGCGGTTTAACTGATGTCATTAGGGACCAATATATTCGCCTTTAATAGAACAATTATAGACAAATCGTTAATAACATTGTATAATAATAATAATAAATAAATAAATCCTCCGTACGCGGAGACGTGGATGCATGTCTCCGTGTGTCATGGAGACATGACACGGTGCCCGTGTCCGGACACCGCGAGGACACGGTGCCCATGTCCGGAAAAATTGGCATTAAAATACCTTATTTCAATGCGTCACTTGACGTTGAGGCCGATTATCAGACGACGGTCTTGGGAATGGTTGAGAAACTGGATTTCTGACAGCCATTGGAAGACCACGGTGGGATCGTGAGTTAATAGGGTGTGGATGATGTCTCCGAAGAAGTTGACGTCGTAGAGGTTGTAGGTTTCGTCTGGTAACATGTAGTCATGAATGGTGATCGTCATTGCTCCGCCTCTGTGCCTTGAGAGATAGACAGATTTTATGAGGTTGCGTAGAAACATGTGAGGAAGGAAAAGTTTGCGTGGGAAAATGGAGGAGGAGTGGATGGTTACGTGATATAATGGAGAAGGAGGACATGAAATTTGACTAATTTCGGGGTTTTTTTTTTAAGAAAAAAAAGGGAGATTTTTTACGACGATGGGAAATGGCGACACNTCCTGCTTCTCCATTATCTCACGTAACCACCCACTCCCCCTCCATTTTCTTCTTCACCAATGGATCATGTTAGCTTGTAAGAAATTCTTCATTGCAATCAGAAACGTGTATGCCATAGCTGACCCTTTCACCTGTAACTCTTCACGACCAGACTATCTTTTTTTATTTATTTATTTACTTGTTTTTCTTTATCTTTTTCGAAGCAAAAAGGGAGAGGGAGGTGGAGTAAAGGCGGGTTCTTACCTCTGTTAATTATAGTAAATTTCATGATTATTTGGATGAAGATTGAGATTAGAATCTATTCATCTATTCTAGTCTAGAAAAATAATCATGAGTTGATTTTATCAGACTTCTATGTGTGCTACCATTAGTTGCATTTGGCCTACATCTGCCTCTGCAAGATTTATCATTTTCCTAAAACCCTCACTATTTCTGTGCACTTCATCCGAACTCTTCAACCTAAACCCAACAAACTGTATATA